ATGTATGAAAGGATGACTGGTGGATTATTGTTACAAATAGACAATGGCTTCAGGGAGAGAGAACATTGGACTACTGAAGTGCATTGAACTGTAGAAGCAGATCATAGGGGAATGGAAGAATCTTGGTGTTTTGCTTGGTCAAATATGAAGAATTTTGTTCCAATGGAATTGACAAGTCAATGGAAGTTAGACGTTCCTGCAAAGGATCTATAGACAGTATATATTAAATCTGGACCTTCATTTTTCAATTTTGTAAGATTAAAATTACTAACTTACATAGATATTAGAAACTACTTGCATGCGCTTAACTATGTTAGAGTAAGGTTAAACAAATCTTCAGACTTTTGCTGTTTGAAATCAGAATGAATTTTTGAGAAAGAGTTGAATCTAGTAAGGCAAAAATAATTTTGAATACTATTAGGTGATCAGCCTATGCACGTAATACTAATATTGAGGCACCTTTCTGTGCCATGTGCTGTGTGAGGTGTTATATATGTTTTCTCATTTAATTTTATCCTTAAAGCAGCACTATAAGGTAGGTGGTATTACTATCATTTTACAAACAAGTAAACTAAATCCCTGAGAGGTTAACGTGTTCACCGATACAGAGTGAGTCATTAAGTTAGAACCAGAACCTTGTTCTGATTCCAAAATGAACTTGAGGTTGTCTTTAGTATTTTCCAGCTTCCTAGCACTTTCCCCCTATTTTTCCAGTATGTTGTAGTATAGTGGTTAAGTAGTGACTGTGGGCAAGAGGTTACATTTCTAAGTCAAAGTTTCCTATTCTGTGAAATAGGAATAATGATAATATTCCCCTCTTCCAGTTGTGAGGCATTAAGAGAAAAATTTCATAGACTACCACAATGTCTGGTACTTAGAGAGTTTTAAGTAAGTGTTAGACTGTTATTTTCAGATGCCATGACTTTGTTCAGTCCACAGCCTACTCAGAATCCTCTAATTCAGTTTGTTTATTTATTTATTTATTTATTTATTTATTTATAGAGACGGAATCTCGCTCTGTCACCCGGGCTGGAGTGCAATGATGTGATCTCGGCTCACTGTAACCTCTACCTTCCAGGTTCAAGTGATTCTCCCGCCTCAACCTCCCAAGTAGCTGGGATTATAGGCACCCACCATCATGCCCAGCTAATTTTTGTATTTTTAGTAGAGATGGGGTTTCACCGTGTTGGCCAGGCTGGTCTTGAACTCCTGACCTCAGGTGATCCGCCTGCCTCAGCCTCCCAAAGTGCTGAGATTATAGGTGTGAGCCAGAGCGCCTGGCCTTCTAATTCAGTTTATCATTAAGGCTTGCCCTTTTTTATGGGGGTTTATTCTTTAAAATTGCTTTTTCTTTTTTTACTCCCATCAAAAACTCAGATTCTGACTTTGGCCCCTTCCTTACTTTATTAATTTTCCTTGGGTCATCATGTGCCCTCAACTATTCTTTGTATGCTGGCCGAAACTGCATCTCTATCCTAGACCTTGTATTTGAGCAGGTCCACGTGCTCATTTGCCTTCTAGGTCTGCTCTGCCTCATAGGATAGCCACTAGTCACATGTGGCTATTGAGCTCTTGAACGGTGGCTAGTCTGAATTGTAATGAACTCTAACTACAAAATACACACCAGATTTCTACTTTAGTAAGAAAAAAATATGTAAAATGTTTCATTTATACTTTTTTATATTGATTACATGTTAAAATGATTTTATTTTTGATATATTAAGCTAAAGAATACTGACTATTGAAGTACATTTCACTTATTTCTCTTTTTTAAAAAAATGTGGCTACTAGAAAATTACATATGTGACTTGCATTATATCTCTGTTGGGAAGTGCTGTTCCAGACATCCACCTGTGTATTTTTCAAGTACCTTGAAAACAGTCCCCAACTATACATACTGTCCCCATTTTCTTCTCCCTCCCAAAGTTCTGTTTCTTCTTCTCTCATTTTCCATAGTAAATAGCTCTACTTATGTTTTCAAAGCCAGAAACTTTGGAGTCATCCTTAATTCCTCCTTCCGTGTCCCTCATCTGTCAGTTGCAAAATCCTTTCTTCTCTGCTTTTTAAATATCTCTCACTGTCATATATTTCTTTCAATTCCCACTGTCATTACCTTGGTTGATCTATTTTATGACTTCCAGATTTTTGTCACATTTACCTCTCTTCTGCTCAAGGATATGAAAAGTAGACTTTTTTTTCTATTTTTATAGTTCTATTATGGTTTCATTTAAAAAATGTAAATAATTGCTTCACTCATTTATTTTATTGTAAAGTAGGACACCATCTTTTTTTTTTTGAAACGGAGGTTCACTCTGTTGCCTAGGCTGGAGTGCAGTGGTGCAGTCTTGGCTCACTGGGTGCAAGCAGTTCTCCTGCTTCAGCCTCCCTGGTAGCTGGGATTACAGGCATGTACCACCACACCCAGCTAATTTTTGCAATTTTAGTAGAGACAGGGTTTTGCCGTATTGGTCAGGCTGGTCTCGAACTCCTGACCTCAAATGATCTGCTCATCTCAGCCTCCCAAAGTGCTGGGACTACAGGTGTCCAAGCCCGGCCCATCTTAATTTAAAAAAATGGCTACCCAGTGTCTTAACACCATTTATTGAAAAGTCTACCTTTACTCCACTGATTTGAAATATTACTGTTATAATTTACCAAATTCCATGTGGGTCTTTTTTCTTTCCTGAATGTTCTCTTCTGTTCCATTTATCTATGTGTTTGTTCGTGTGGTAGTACCATTCTGTTTTATTTCTTTACAGTGTGTTTTGATATTGGGTAGTGGTAATTCTCTGATTATTATTTTTTAAAACTTTTCTCTCTATTCTTCTTGATTGTTTTCATATGAATTGTAGATTCAGCTTGTCTGATTCTCTCCCAAAATCTATTGGTATTTTTATTCATTTTATTTAAATTTATGAATTAGGGAGAATGGACATCTCCCTAAATTAGAGAATGGACATATCTATAATATTGTTTTCTTATCCAAGAATGTGGTCAGAAGGCTGGGCATGGTGATGCATGCCTGTAATCCCAAGCGTGGGATTTGGGAGGCTGAGGCAGGAGGATCATTTGAGCTTAGGAGTTCAAGACCAGCCTTGGGGGTGGAGCAACATGGCAAAACCCTATCTGTACAAAAAATAGAAAGAATTAGCTGGGCATGATGGTGCATGAGGATTGCCTGAGCCTGGGAGTTCGAGGCTACAGTGAGCTGTGATTGAGCCACTGCATTCCAGCCTGGGCGACAGTGCAAGCTGAGACGCTCTCTGAAAAAAAAAAAAAGTCAGAATGTTTTTCCATTTGTTCAAGACTTCTGTGTCTCACAATAGTGTCTTGTCACTTACTGTACCTTTAGCTTGTATGTTAAAATTATTTTTAGATGTTAAAAATTTTTTGTTGTTGGTATTGTTAATTGGATCACTTCTATTGTGTCTTTTAATTGGCTGTGGTTTATATTCCATTACCATTTGTCAGGCCCCAATAATTTCTTGCTTGGGTTGTTGTGAAGATTACTAATTGGTTTTTCTTTTTCAATTTCACCACACTCTTGTCATTGATTTTTCTAAAACACAAGATATTTGTCTTTTGTCTTTTGCTGTGTTTAAGTTCTTTAACTCTTTAGAATAAAGGTCAAATGAAGAGTAAAGGTCAAATTCCTTAACATGACATACAAGATTATGATTTTTCCCATAGTGGCATATCCAACCCCATGTGTTTGGTGTCAGTATGAAGTATAGCTCCAGGCCGGGCGTGGTGGTTCACGCCTGTAATCTCAAAACTTTGGGAGGCCGAGGTGGGTGGATCACAAGGTCAGGAGATTGAGACCATCCTGGTTAACACAGTGAAACCCTGTCTCTACTAAAAAAACAAAAAATTAGCCGGGTGTAGCGGCGGGCACCTGTAGTCCCAGCTACTCCAGAGGCTGAGGCAG